AAGTTTTAAGTGTGCATCACGAGCATAACTATGCATCAGATCAAAAAACTATTGAAGCCGTAAAATCTAAAATTGAAATTAAACAAATCTCCAAAGTTTCTGGTTCTACACCTGGTCAAATTTTTAACGAAATAATAAACAAATTACCGAAATAAGTTTTGAAAAAAATGCTTACAAAAGAGTCAATAAAACGAACCATTCGAGTGCAAAGAAATGGAAATAATCCTATCGAGCCAACAGATATTAACAATTTAGTTATTGAAGGTATGATTAAAATATTTATAAAAATAAAATTATACAAAAATACCTATAATCATAGAATTTAAATTTTAAGGGAATGGTCTTTATGGAATAGTCAACGTTTTCTTTTATACGATAGCAAATCTAAAAACACTAATTAAAGCAGCGTTTCTCAAAATGTGGGTCGTCAGTCAATTGTTGGTGGGTCGCAAACATTTTTTTCAACTATATAGATTCCAAGAAATGTATGTTAGGTACCTCATTATAAAAATTAAAAATTACATTTAAATTATATTAATTATATTTTTATTCATATTAATTATAAACCTATAACTATAAAGTGCTAAATACCTAATAAAAATGTATACATATTTATATAATACGAAAGATTTTTCGGAGGAAATTTCGGTCACGGTATATTAAAAAGTTTGAGAACTACTGAATAGAGGATTATTGTGTTTGGTACTGACAACATGTTAGACTTATTGTGTCAATCTAAAGAGTGGTATATGGATGGAACTTTTGGACTAGCACCTAAACATATTATATAGTTCTATATTATTAGCTTAAAACGTAATTGTGAGTATGTAACTGTAATTTATTCATTATTACAAAGAAAAACACAATCGATGTATGAACAAATGTTCAAAATAATTTTGGACAAATGTAATAAACGAAAATATTATCCTTATTTCCGGGGACTGGGAAGGCGAGGTAGCGGGAGTTTCCCAGTGGGGCGCTTGTAGGGACGTTTTTTTTAGGTTTATCGGTTTTATCGGTATTTAAATTATAGGCTTAAAAATCATTAAATGCCATGAAAAGCGCGAGCCCAGGGCAGCTGCCACTTCTACTTGGCGCTAGTTAAAATAGATATGAAAAAATGTATAAATTGTCAAAAATAGATGCTTGTATCACATTATTGTCTTCGTTAATTTGTAATCCTTACCTTATCGAACGCTCGTCTGCACTGCCTTTAAAATGTGAGACAGTTTATTATCATCACACGCATTTCCACCTGTTCCGGTGCCACAGAAATCATAATTGACACAATATCGACACAATGATATGTCAAAAATAATAATGTATAATATTATGTAGGCAATATGTTCATCAGGGTTTAGGTTACTTGTATTTCAATTATTCACGACTCATAAGCAATTTTACCAATACAGCAATACCTACATTGCGCTTCGGTAAACGAAAATAGTTATTATGACATCATGTAATAGTTACCTATATAAAATACGTGAAAATAAGAAAAAAACAAGTACCTAGTGTATATCGCAAGAATTGAAATGGATGGGCATTCTTGTGTGTAATTTATACTCGAAAACAATAAAATAAACGAAAATAGAAATGCATGGGCCCAATTGGTAAAATGGTTTTTTCGATCTAAAGACGATATCGCTGAAGTAATCGATTAAATTTTGTTGGTAAAATAAAGTATTAACACCGTGGAAACATCGTCACGGCTTCTGCGACATTTACAACTTCTAAAAATATGGGCATTATGTATTATATTAGCATATTTTTCAATAGTTATAAATCTTCAAAAAAATAATGTCTATTAGAAAACTACCAATCAAACTGTTAAGTCGTACGCCCTTCGAAATTTTAGGTCCATAGAAACTGCGCCGTTTAAGCCCTTGACCTCTTCTCCTTCACGCCGTAAGGCTGTCCTCAATGCTCACGACATTATACGGAGATCAGCAAAGGTTGAAATAAAATGTATATGCATTGATGTATTATTAATATAATCAGGCATATTTTTCAATAATTCAAAGGACTGCCCACCCTTTTTTGTTTTGTTTATGATTTTAATGCATATTACAAAGTTTCTAATACTGTAAAAGCTGAGAATTTATGGTTTAAAGTATTTCATATTTTTAATTCAAAGTAGCCAATTGAATCAGTGTTGGCGTGGACATTTTTGCAAAACTATATTTCTGATATTCATACTGATATTGATCAAAATAGTTCTGCCTTTGTTTAGATAATTTCGAATTTAACAAAAAAAAAAAAATAACACACAAAAAAAAGCTAACAAATAATTTAAAATTTGTAAAAGTATAGTAAGAATTTGTTTTGTCTTAAATGTAAATTTATAATAAATTACCTGTAATAAATATTTAGTATATTATGTATTTTCAATACTTTCAGTATTTTGTATTGACATTTAAGTTTTATTTAAATTAGAAAAGTATATATAGAGTATCATAACTTAATGTATTTAGAAATACTTATTGACTATCTAAAACAATTACACCACTTTCTTACACATTACTGTAACATAATGAAAAAAGTCTCCCCCTTTAAAAGGTATAATCTCTAAAATACATTATATCCATTCTGTCTCAAGTTTAAACATCTGAAATACTATTAATCTATTACAATTTTGATGCTTTTTTCAATCCACAAATTAAGCATTTCGATAGGTATAATTCACTGAGTGATTGGGAACTTCTTTTTTTAGATACCTGTACGGCTGTACCCACTCACCAAAAGATACATATAATTTTATTTTAAAATATGGTGATTAATGAAATAAATTAATTTCTAATGAAACTTTAAATCCAAGATATGTACTAAAATGTACATATACAATTACTAAGACTTCAATATGATAGCCCAGACAACAAGTTCCAGTAATTTCTCAATAATAAACAAAAAGAAAAAAAGAAAAAATTTAGGAATGTTTAGACAATACAAGTTTTTGACTATATAAATATTATTTTTTTGGTGGAGGTACTCAAAAACAAAAACAGTGGATACCTACTAGAAATTTTCTCAAATTCTTTTTGGCACTGATATTATATAGAGCCATGGTCTTGACAAAGGTAAGTATCATAATTATATTAGATTATTTAAAATATTTTACAATAACCATAGATATCTTAATGAATAATATATAAACATACAATTTAAATAATAGGAGAGTGGGCATAAATTGTAATATCACTAATACAGAGAAACATCCATACTTCAAAGTCTCGTGAAGACCAACCAAATCTACAATATGGAATTTAGAATTAAATAAATTTGGTTTGATTCTGGTTTGGTAAGCAAAATATTTTGTTAAAATGAAAATATTGTTAAATTGAAGTTCTTGATGTAAAAATGTCACTGTAATCAATTATATAAATGCTATTTTTAAAGGAAAAATACGTAGATCCGAGATACCTACCTAACTACACCCTGAGGCGGTTTGAAAGTATTGTACTTGGTGGTGCAAAACTATATATAGACACCCTCCCCCCCATAAATAACAAATAAATATACATATATATATGCTACATATATGCGTATATATACTCTAATGTTTTTCATATAGGTACCTATTTTTTTACTAACTTCAGTCATAGATTAAATATACAAGTACAATATACTAGTATATTAAATCTAAGCTTCAGTTTAGTTGTTTACACTTTTAATATTAACTGTACACAATGATTGTGTAACAATTTTTTTACTTACCTTTATATTAATAAAATAATAAAACATATACATACATTGTATTAAGTAATGAATAAAATAAAAATAAAAATTATGTACCTACCCTTTAATTTAGATTGAAGCTTTGATTACTTAAAAATTATATAAACATATATATATTATAATTGTAGGCTTTTATTTATAAGTTTGATGAATGAAACATAATTTTAAATTATTTTTATTTACAATTTACTATGAATAACTCTCTGAATACCACAACCACCCGCCCAAAATATATTGGTGGTGCAGTGCACCAAAAACAGTATACTCAAACTGCTACTGCCTATACCTATTATGTAATAACTAATAAGTATGACTCTTATTTGAGCGTATTCTAACGCCTTACTTACTTTAATATGTTCAATAGGCATGAACCTACATACGGTAACACCGAATCTTTTTTAAATCACTGTATAAACTCTTTTTTTGGTGTACCTATACCCACCGACCTTAAACGACAAGTACATTTTTTTTTTTTAAATATAGTGTTAAATGAAATAAAGGAGAGATTATAGGAATTAATTTTAAGTGGTTTGGATTAAACTCTGACGACTTCCAAGAACAACATTGTCACTGTATTCCATGGCGACTGGTATATAATGGTGTACAACCCTAACCCCTATAAGTAATATTTTTGGTACTGGACAAAACATATAATATAAACCGACTGATAAGTGATTCTTAGAGGAGCATTGAACAGATTAATTTCACAATGATGTGTGTTAAATACCTAAATTAATTTCATAGATTAAGGAAAAGAGGACGCCAAAGCTGCATATAATGCCTTTCTTTTCCAAATGTACGACATATCCAAGCGGTTCAAGTTTTGTGCAATAACCTCTAATGATAGGCAGAATTAACCTATTGTAAAACTCATAGATATGAAAATAATCTATGATTTCTCAGAGGATTCTTGTAATATTTTAATCATGAATACATGTTTGAATAGGTTAACATGAAAAATATTACAATTTAAAAATTCTCATGACCTGTCAAAACATTTTAATTACATAAACAACTCTCAACGTCAACACAGTACAGCATTTTTCTAGCTTTCGATCATACAACATGTAATCTCACTCTATAATTAAAGTTTACTACCGAACAATGAAACGTACAATGTTTGTTGTAAATTTGTAAGACGGTAACAACACAAGCAGTTGAGGGTCCTCAAAATCAATTTTGATTAACCTTCATTTAAATTTTTTGTAATAAAATAATAACAAATTGTACTTTTTTTAAATTAAATTATTTATTACCCTTGTCAAAAAAATCCATACACCATAATATTTAAAAATTAGGAAACATTATTTAAATAAAAATTTACATTTCAATGAATATAGTAGTTATACATGTTACACCATTACATTTCTTACCAATGTGCATTAAATGTTTATTCAAAATTAAATAAATAAATAATTGTTAAATAAAAAGAAAAAAAATATTGAATTTACTCTCCATTCATTTGTTTTTTAAACCAAAAACGAGCTCTAAAGTCGTCTGAACAAGTCAAAAATGCTGCTGAATTCGGAGAATGCACTATTGAACGAATAGGTCCGTTATGGCCTGCAAAATAATTGTAAATCAAAACATTTAAATTTAAACAAAAATGCATTTAACAAAATGAATTACCTAATGATAACAGCTGTTGTCGAGAAGCATTCCGAGCATTCCATGCACACAAAGTTGTAGTGGCTTCATCAGGAAACATGACATACTCCTCAGTATGATTAAACAATGCTTGTGTTTGATGTTTTTGTGTATCTATTAAAAAACTTAGATTATTTATACAATTTTAATGAAAACAAACAATAGTTTACCGGTGGTTCCAGCTCCTGTATATACAATCAGACATCTACTAGTGGATAATTCCCAAAGTTTCACTAAAGAATCTTTGCCCGATGATAAAACGTACTAACAATTATAATAGAAAATCATTTAATATCATAATGTTCAGATAAATAAAATTATAAAAATATTCACCTTTCCATTTCTTGAAAATGTCACAGAACACACTTCACTACCATCGTGTGCTTGTTCAAATGTGTTAACACATTTATTAGACACAGCATCCCACAATTTAATAGCACCATCTTTACTAGAGGACACAAAGTACCTGGCATTTGGTTCAAACCTGATACATCACAATAAATAATACATTTAAAAATAATTGAATGGGCATTACACATAAGATAATTTTGTATACTATACTTTATTGATGTAATAGGACCAGTATGTTGATGACTGGGAATTGCACTAACGAAACATTGTACCGTATTTACATCATAAAGCCTTATGACTGGACTATTGGTGCCCATCACCATAAAGTCTCCTAGTGGGTGGAAACTTATACATGTTATAGGTTCGACATCCTGTAAAGTTGTTGTATACGGTTGATATAATTTGAGAAAAATATAATGTGGTTATAAGTCTTACGCTTATTGTCTTGAACGCTTTCTTCACAGATGATTTTGAATAATCAAAAAGTTTGAAATTACAATCCCGAGAGCCTGAAGCTAAAATTGGCTTGTTAGGGTGGAACTCCAGGCACGTCACTTCTTCCAAATGATCATACAGAGTGCGAATTACCGGATGTCCCTGTCCTTCTTGATTATCAGTAAAAGCGTTATCATTTGCTTTAGCCAGCATTCTTTCAACATCCAAAATCTATAAATGTTTTTTTTTAATAAGTTATCACATTTTGTGGTGCAAAACATAATTACTTTGATTGATGAATCACTGCTGCCTGTTGCAATTAACTGTCCATTAGGACTAAATGCACCAGCTCTGCAGGCTTCTTTGTGGGATGTAACGTAGACAGTGTCATAGAGCGACGGTTCAGGAGCGGTGCAAATAACATTGGTATCAAATTCCAAGTCTAATCATACAATTAACAAATTTAATACAAAAATGTATATGATATTTAAATCATTAAACATACCAATGCCTTGTCCAATTAACATTTCCTTAATTGGGTTTAAGTTTGATGCTTCTTCTGATTCTTTTTGTCCATCGGATTCGTGTTGTAAACCTATTGTCACAAGATTCAACAGTCGACTGGACGGACAACAAGGTGGAACAGCTTTTACTTGGGCAGCTAAGGTTGCAGCAATTGTGGAATGGCCATCATAAATGAGTTGACTAAACAAAATCAAAATTAATATAAACAAAAATAGTATGGTTTATATTATACTAGAATTTATACTTTACCTTATGATGAGTCTGTACAAGTGATCTCTGTGCTTAATACTCATTTCAGGTTTGGCATTCTTTTCTTTGCTCCACATTTTTAATTTCTATTAACTCAATCACAAATAAAAATATTTGATTGACAGTACTCCAAGTAAAGAAAACTATTCAGTTGTTTTGAACTATGATGTAATGCATTAAGAATATATAATAGCAAGTTAGCAACACGTACTAAAATTTTGTTTATTATGTTGAAACGGAATGGCTACGATAACACTATCAGGCTTGTAGTTTTGTATTTTACCACGGGCGCCACGGTGGTAGAAATATCTACAACTGTGATACTGATCTATGCCCTCATTTGATAGACTATTGGTATCCCAAATGTTTTTATTTAAACATTTTTATACATTAATTATAATACAAAATACTGATGCTCTAGTAACTTCCAACCAGTTACGGTACGGACTACAGTTTATAGAACAGAAAGTACATACGCCCCAAACTAATATTATATGTTATAGGATTAATAAATATTTTGTTATGATTTGAAATTAATTACAAGTGAACAATAAATTAAACATAATATTACAATTTATTTAAATTATTATATTATTATTGCTAAACACCTACATCGTATGTTATCATTTTGTCAGATTGTAAATACTAAATTTTCTTTTTTGTCATGCATGACATCAACCAAACATATATCTACACATACTTCATCTTATAACATTTTTGCGAACTTAAAATTAAGAATTTTTGTCAGTCGTTTTAAAATAAATTGTTTGTCAATTGATGGATAAGTCATAATATTTAAACTATCTCATTGCTTAGTTTCAGTTTAATCTGTAAATGCTACTTGATTGATTTATCATTGAAAAATAGGTTAACATTTTTGCCATGATTTTGTACTTGCTTTGTTTTCATTCTTTCTTGAGGTAAATAATTAATAGAAGGTACGTGTTTGGTGAAAAATTTAGAAACTGATTTATATTATAATTAAATTTAACGAATAATAATTAACAGTTGATGTTTCGTTTTTTGTATTATCAAATCGTAGTATTATGACTGGGTATAAGAAAAATATTTTGTTTTTTTTTAAATTATGTTAGAAATATATAGTTACCTATAACTTACAAGTTATTAAATTAACCCAACTATCAACTGATAACAAAATTAAGAACATCGTTTAGTAATCAATGTAAAGGAATGTTCATGAACTAATCTAGTATTTATCAACCATTAAAATTTATTTTACCCTTAACTATGCATTTTCTCAAAGGAATTCATTTCACGCTCTCCCGTAAATTATGAAACCCAAAGCCGGATTTACAGCTACGTCATCGAGGTCATCTCGATCTAACCATATAGTGATTTTACGTTACATTTTTGACATTCTAAAATAAAAAGTTCCAACCGAGTATACGGTGAATTGACTACAGATCAAATTACCAGTTGTAACCATAGTTACTACTTACTACGCCCTCAAAAGACAAGACATACGACGTAGCTGTGAATTCGACTTTAGAGTGAAAATATATTTTAATGATATCGTAATGTGATCACCTAATTTAACATATTTTAATACGGCCCTTAGATAATACAAAAAAGAAACTATAACAACAAAATATCGTCCAAACATTCATCAGTAGTCAATTGAGGCTAAGGTACTGCAACTTATCAAAATGGATATTGACGCGTTAAGATTTTCACTGTCTAGAACAAAAATGGCTTTCCTGTCCTTGCTGTATGCGACTTATATATATTACCACGGCGATGTAACAGGTGCTGCGTCGGGGATCATTGACTTACCCGGAGATTCCATACTTAGCCATTATGATTTTATCGTAGTCGGCGGTGGATCGGCAGGTAAATATAATACAATATACTTATTATCTTATAGAATTACAATATGTACTTCCATAGCATTTTTGTATCGAAGTAGTGTCAATAATTCCTTCAATGTTAAATACTAAATTATGGGTTTGTGCCCAGTTCGCCGACACCCAATTCGCCGACACCCGGTTTTTTGATCAAAAAACCAGTTTTTAATATTTTTTAAAAATAGCCCAATTCGCCGACAACAAATGATATTGGCGACATGCTACGGCGGTATTGCAATAAAACTATAATACTATCATAAGCTGTAAATTTATTTTATCGTGTGTATAAGGTACCTATCGACTATCGCACGTTATTATATCTGTAAACTTATTTGATGGTGAGTATAAGATAGTATTATAGTTATCTATCACATGATAATTTTGACATCCATCAATATATTATAAATATATATATATATATAATAATAATATAAGTCCACTGCGTGGTTTTCAAATAATGATTAAGATTTTAGTTTGCGATTATATTTCATTGCGTTAGGTACTGCAAAAAAAATTATTCTTTATATATATATATATATATATATATATTATTTTAATTTTTCCGTCGTTATGGAATGGTTTAAAATTAAGTCAGAAAAAAATCAGGACTTACTTGTAGTGAACAATTATATTCACAGAATAGACCGAAAACGTGGAGACAACGAATATTATAAATGTGTGGATAATTGCGGCGGTCGTGCAATAGTTAAACATTCAAACATAGTAGTTACGTCTAAGCCACATAATCACGGAACACATGGTTTTGAATTGGCAGAACGAGGTTTCCGAAATAAATTAAAGGTAAATAATTATATTAAATATTATCATATGAATAATATTCATATTTTTATAAGCAATTACTTGTAGTACATTTCAAACCCTGGACTTAACAATACATTTTTCGAAGTGTTTCACAAAATTAAAAACTAAGAATATTTTTGTTATAGGATGTTGTTACACTTAATCCAACAAAACCAGTTCCTCAAGCTTTTAACGAAGTGAGAAGATCTGTTATAACTTCAGGATTACAAGGGTCATCACAAAACGAAGTATATAGTTCTATCCCTACATTAAATAGTGTTCGAAGTTCATCATACCGTAAAAAAATGAAACTTATTCCTAAATTACCTAACAAATTACGTGATTTAATAATTAATGGCGAATGGCTTTGTACTAATGACGGAAGAGATTTTTTATTAGGTATAAAGATATAATTAATTATGTATAATAGTATAATATACATAATAAATAAATAATATACGTGTTATAATATTATTCTTAGGATCAGACGGAGATGATGACAAAATAGTTATATTCGGTACCGAAGGCTTCTTAAGAAGACTCTGCACAGCTGAAGTTGTTTTTATGGACGGTACTTTTAAATCAGCTCCGAAGTTATTTCTTCAAATTTACACGTTACATTGTTTTGTGCAAGGAATTTTGGTACCAATGGTAATTATATTTAAACTTTAAGTCAATAGCTAACAAACATTATATTTAACCTTCTTATTTAGGCGTATGCACTTTTACCAAATAAGACTTCCGCAACGTACAACCGAATGTTTAATCTAATTAAAGAAGCCGCAATTAGAATTGATTTAATATTTAATCCTAAATGTTTTCAAATTGACTTTGAAATTGGAATGATTATGGCAATTAAGGAGTTATTTGGGCACCAAACTAAAATAAAAGGCTGTTTGTTTCATTTTGGACAATCTATATGGCGCAAGGTACAGAACGTAGGACTATCTGAGGAATATAAAAACAATGCCGAGGTTAAACTAACTGTCCGTAGAATATGCGCATTAGCATTAGTCCCTATAGATACAATTGACGAGTGTTGGACCACAATTCACGCACAAGCTCCAAATAATGAAAGTAAGAAAAAAATATTAATGAATATTGAATACATAAAAATATTAAAATAGACTAATTATTAAATATGATTATAAAGATCTAACAAAACTCATGGATTACTTTGTTGATACTTATTTAAATTATGACGTATGCCACTTTCACCGAAAAATGTGGAATCATTTTGAAACAGAAGGCAGTCGAACAATTAATCATTTGGAAGGATGGCACGCAGCTTTAAATCGAGCTGTTAACCGTCACAGACCCAATATTTATATACTTATAAACGAGATCAAAAACCAACAGCAGAACTTTGAATTGGATATTTCATCGCAAAGTAGGGGAAATCCCAAACCTAAACCAAGTTTGAAATTTCGTAAGCTCGAGGAACAGTTGAAAAATGTTAAAGAAAAGTACGTAATATTTTTTTTTCTATCATATACACACACCGGGTGAACATACTTTTATGACTTTTAAAAACAATGTTATATTTTAAATAATCATATTTCACTATTTCAGGTTAAAAGAAAATGAAATTTCTCTAATGGAATATATTGATACCATAAAATATCATATCCGCTTATAACTTTTTTTTTCTTATAACTATTTTTTATTTATAATTTTTACTATAATATGATACCTAATGACTACCTAATGTAATATTACCATTTAATTTTTTTTAAATTTTTTATTCTGTAATAAATTTACTATTTTATATTTTTTTATATTATTTATATATTTTTTATAACTAAACTGTAACTATTGAGTGTCGGCAAACTGGGTGTCGGCGAATTGGGTGTCGGCGAACTGGGTGTCGGCGAATTGGGTGTCGGCGAACTGGGAATACACCAAATTATGTATATAGTAAATACAAATTCAACAATGATTACTCAGGTGCTGTGCTGGCAAATAGATTAACCAAAGTCAATGGTTGGAGCGTTCTTCTAATAGAAGCTGGCGATTATGAAACAATTCTAACAGACGTGCCTGTGTTGGCCGCCAACCATCAACTTTCCAAGATTGATTGGAATTTTACGACCGAACCTCAGGATACAGATGTTGTACTCATTTGATAAACAGAGATTTGACAGTCTTGTAAAGTTCTTCCATAGTTAGTAAATGATACAAATTATGTGATGGTTTCCTAAAATATGAAATGTACCCACAACGAATAGGGTTTAAAGTTGTATAAAATGTATTTAGGCTATTCTATAGTATAATCATAAAAAACAAAAACGGTAATTCATACATATTTTATATGCAATATTTTTAATATATTATATTAAATTTCAGCTATGAACGGTCAAAGGTGTAATTGGTCCCGGGGCAAAGTTTTGGCGGATCCAGCGTTTTAAACAATATGTTGTATGCACGTGGCAACAAAATGGACTTTGACAACTGGTTGAAACAAGGTAATGTAGGTTGGGGGTACAATGATGTGCTCCGGTATTTTAAAAAATCGGAGGACAACCAAAACCCGTCCTTGGCGAGTACCCCGTACCATTCGACTGGTGGCTATCTTACGGTGTCAGAAGCGCCGTACAAAACGCCATTTGCCGAAGCGTTCATCACGGCCGGACAAGAAATGGGATACGATGTACACGACATTAATGGCCTACGACAAACGGGTTTCATGGTACCACAAGGAACCATCAGAAACGGTTCGAGGTGCAGTACTGCGAAGGCATTCTTGAGACCGGCTGGGCTTCGAACAAACCTTCACGTGACCCTCAACTCGCATGTCACACTCGTTATAATTGATCCGATAACAAACATCACGTCCGGAGTCGAAATGATAAAAAATTATATTAGGTATTACGTTCGGGTTCTTAAAGAGGTGTTGCTGTCAGCGGGCCCTATTAATTCTCCACAGCTACTTATGCTCTCGGGCATTGGTCCTGAAAATCAATTGACAGAATTGCCTATACCCTTTATTTCCAGTTTAGACGTCGGCAAAAATCTACAAGACCACATCGGGCTTGGTGGTCTGACGTTTTCGATCAAAGAAAAGGTGATACTATATTAATTAAATATAAAGAAAATATTAGAATGCCAGTGCTTATACTGACACACTGCAGTGAATTATAGTGTAACCACATGCTCTTTCGTTTTTTCTATAGATATCGCTAATGCATCCGAGTACGAAAAATGGCAATTCGGTATTCACCTATGCGTCGGAAAGCAAAGGTCCACTAACAGTAATGGGCGGTGTAGCAGGAATTGCGTTTGTTAATACAAAGTATGGCAATAACTGACCAGAAGAGCAACCAGACATTGGGTTGAACTTTGTGTCTGGTTCAACCGTTTCTGGTATAGATGGATTCAAAACGTGGAAAGCTCACGGGCTAAAAGAATTTTTTTATAAATCGATGGATGAATCGATTCGCAACACAGCCGTTTGGTCCGCTAAGCCTGTAAGTAAAATGTATTAAAAACAAATTAAAAACGAAAATATACACTCGAAGTACATTAAAATATATGATTTTATAGTAAACCATACTCAACTGAATCACAACAACTAATAGGGTGTATATTTCATACACACATGAAGTCCTTATTCAAAACATTTTCTGCTTACTTAAATATTTTTACAAAGATTTCATAATATTGTATTTATCTTCAGATATTGTTGAGGCCCAAGAGCCGTGGCGAAATACGTTTGAGGAACACCAACCCGTTCGAGCATCCCATGATCTTGTCCAACTACCTGACGGCCAAGGAGGACGTGGACACGTTGGTGAGGGGCATCAAGTTTGTGATGGCCATGGCCGAGACCGATTCTTTCCGCCAGCACGACAGCCACCTGCACGACGTACCGTTCCCCAGTTGCCAGACCTTGCAGCGGCATTCGGACGACTACTGGGAATGCATGGTCCGGCATTACACCGTGTCCACATACCACTCAGTGGGTACAGCCAAAATGGGTCCAGAGGGGAACAAGACCGCCGTGGTGGACCCAAAGCTCCGGGTGTACGGCGTTTACGGACTCCGTGTGGTGGACGCGTCCGTCATGCCTACACTTTTCGCCGCCAACACCAATGCGCCGGTTAGGTTATAATGTATTTTAATTTTTTTTTAGATCCATATATTTTAATAATTATTATTTAAGTACATTTCAGCCCACTTTTGATTTCTTTCTATAGCCGAGCAAAATCACAATATAACATGCATTCACTTAAACTTGTTCTTTCGTGTTTATGATTGATCCCGATTTCCCATTACAAACATTATTTAGAATAATATTTTTTGATTTTTCTGTATTCTATCAAAACAAAACTTGTCAAACATGTCAAATATTCTAAAATGTTTTCCTTGAACATTTTTTAAAAAAGTGATATAACTGTATGCTTACTTAAAAATCATAAAAGCAAACTAGCTTACACGAATGCGAATCTATGTTGCGAGAAAGAAAACAAATGTTTCAATGAAATCCTTTTAGTATTAGGTACTGCTACGATTTCTTTTTTTCTTATTTTTATTATAAACCGTTTTACTCTTTTTATAATGTATTACTAGTATAAATACGCATTGTGTTCAATGTAATATGTAATTTTTAAGTATTTAATTTTTCATAACGTTTTTACTGCAGTTATTAGATACAATTTAATTTAGACATTGGTGGTAGAGAGTTTAATTTAATAATTAATATATTATGTTGAGATTAGACTTTAAAACAAAACCAAATCAAAATATGCATTAAAATAGAATAACATTGAATAATAATAATATTGTTACAAATTTTTTGAATGTTATTCAGATTACATACTTTATTACACTGCAGGTAAATTTCTTAACTTTGTAATGAAAATAAACATAACTTCTTTTATTTTTATAACTTGTAATTATTTTAAAAATTAATTTTTACATCAAACTGCTATGTTCCCATTTCGTCTCATATTTTCCATACCCAAATACAATTCATTATTTGTTAATATTATGTATAAAATAGTTATTTTGTAATAAACCTTCTCGAGTTTTCACTGTTACCTAACACATAATATAATAACTTAAGGTTTTTCTTAATTGATCCTTCTACTGTATTTGTCCATAAATAGTTCCTAAAATGTTTTCTCTGTTGATTTTTTAGTTGTCGAATACTCTAGTCGCATTTTAACTATGATTCTGCTGGACGCTAAACGAACTTAAAAATATTGATATATTGCCTCTAGGCTGGAATAATGGTATATAATATCAGAGCGCGGATTTTAAACGCACTAAATTTATAAAAATATGATATATAATATGCAGTCAAAATCGTAAAAATATGCAATGAAATTTTTTACACATATTTAGGTCTTCGCTCATCGATTCTGTAAATATTTGTGTAACTCTCACACGGAAAAAAAATAGTTGCGGTAACCATTTAAACAATTCATATAATCCTAAATTTCAAGTTAGCATAGTGACAGCTATTCATTAAGTTGTTATTACCTGCACTCAGGTTTAGTTGTATTTATTTAGTTGTAAACTACTTGTCCAAAATTCATTTTCGGTGTATCGAAAAACTCTAAAAAATATTATGCTTTCGAATAAGGAATAAAATTACGTGTTATCATTTTAAAAAGTAAGAAAATAAAACACAGGTAGTTACGATAAAAAATAGAAATACGTTTTATTTTTGAGAAAAATGACTTATATTTTTTTTAAATAATATGTGTCTTGCTCGTTAAATGGATCACTCGTACGAAAATCGATATTGAGCGAATATAATTTGGCATCTTATACATTATTATATAATATGCCTACTAAGACGTTCTATGATATTATAATATTATTTACATTGGTATCAAAATAGTTTATTGCTGTATTGCACTATTACAAATACGCTTAGTGCGCGGGCTTTGCCGTATAAAAATTATAAGCAGCCCAACAAAATAGAATTATAATATAATATGGCCTTACTGGCCCAGCAGGAAAGATGATATTATATAAAAATGATCTGCAATCAATTGTTTCTTTCCGCGATGATACAATTATAAATTATAATAAATGTATGATAGTGCACTGCATTTATGGCTTACAAAATAATGATTAGAAATTTGTGGCCCAACACGTAAATATGTGAAATAAATAATCATAAAAAAACTGCAATGATATTCGGTGCATTGCTGTTCAGCTGCTACCTATAAATATGTATAATATTAATAGACCTACGACAATAAAAGTGGTGATTTACGCCGACGCGGTATGCGGTGGCCTCTCGTGCCCACAATTTATTGAATTTAATCTAAAATAACACAAAATAATATTATAAAAACAATAGACCCTTCTGGTGTTCACAATTATAAAAAAACAATATCTCTCTCTATTTTGTAGATAATATATTTTGGCACACGCTGTTATGGAGCGCTGTCGCGACATCGTTTAGAGCCATTAATTTATTCTCGCAGCCGGCGCGGTAGCATGCGATATCGAGTTGATTATCTACATAATATATAATATATTATAACTCACGAGACACATTAAATAATAATTATAATATAAATAAAACAATACGATGTGATTATTGTGATTACTTGTGCGCTTCGGCGGCAACACTTAGTAATACACAATATAATCATGTACTTAAATGCACGTAAAATGTTCAAGTTTCGTGTTTCAGTAATCAGTAATAACCATTTATGAAGAGCTTTGTAGGTATTCTCTTCTCAAGCTTCAGGTATAAAAATTGAATATTTTAAACGTCTCTGACCACAAAATAATGAATACTTCTTTGGAATTTTGACAAATTATGCAGACAACATATGAATTGCATGCACTTGTAAAAATAAATTGTTTCCATGAGTTTTCAATATGTTTAAACCAGCTGCCCCGTCACGGCGTTGCTCGTTTATTATATAGCGATATAAAAAAACCCCTTTCACCCCGTTAGAGGTTGAATTTTGAAAAATCCTTTCTTAGTGTGCCCCTACATTGCTTAAGCCTCTGTATAAAATGTCAAGTCTCAAGACCGAGCGGTTTGGACTTGATGAAAATCCTTTGATATTTGGTTTATAATTAGTAACTTTGAATAAAGTACATGAGGCACTGCATTCATCAGTTAATCGTTAATGACCGACAAAAGCGTATGCTTTTTACCTATTACCTATGATATATAATAG